AGGAAAGTTGCACTGGTTTAACTGAATTCATTTTATAATTCAAATCAGGTCTCATTAAACTAGCACAAACCCCTGAAGATGGGCAGATCCTAAACCGACTGAAGCGAGGATTAATTTAATTTGGATTAAGCTTAATTTGGAAGTTTGCTGACAAAATTAAATGAGGGAGAGCCAAGATCAAAACTATCTCGGCTCGCATCAGCAAATCCCCAACTTAAGCTAAACCGATTTAAGTGAGCCTTAAACCTGTTAAATGAGGAGCAATGGTCTCAAGTTGCAGCAAGAGAAATTTAGGTTAGAGATTAGGAAGAACTTTCTCACCAGGAGGAGTAAAACACCGGTGCAGGTTACGCAGAGAGGTGGTGGACTCTCCATCCTTGGAGGTGTTTAAGGCCCGGGTAGACAAAGCCTTGGCTGGGATGATGTAGCTGGGACTGGTCCTGCTCTGAGCAGGGGGATGGACTAGATGCGACCTCCGGAGGGCCCTTCAACCTGCATTTTCTGTGATTTTTCTACGATTCTAACCCATCTGACACAAATCTGTACGAGGAGTTTGCACTGCTTTAAGCAGATCGGTTGTTAACATTGATTCAGTTCAAATGGTGCAACTTTCCTACCATAATCGAGATCTAGGACTACCTCGAACTGGAAACACTAGACAAGGGCGTACCTACAGCGGCATTGTGGATTTTCCAAACTGTATGCATTTGGGTAAAACTGGGGATGAATCCGGTTATGGGCTGGGTTGACAGACACGAAGAAGTTAGCTTGGATTTTTCTGTCCTCCATTTAATAACCAAACTCCCTGGTCAGCTTTGTTCACCGTTATGATGATGCCGCCCAACCCCCTTGCTATGCAGACTTGGCCACGGTGTGCAGGATCGGGGATGGGGAGGGGGACATGCCTTGTGCTCTCAGGAGAACAGCGCCCTGAAGCAAGAAACCCAGTTCCCTTGACTCCTGCCGGCTCCACTTCCATTTTGAACAGCAGCCCGTGGACGGACGTGGCGACCGCTGGGCTGCACTTGAGCCTCTCCCCAGCCGCTGGCACTGCAGCTTCACCATGGCACGGGAAACGTCAGACCAGCGCCCCTGAGCTGTCTAATGGCACAGCAGAGCCACTGCTGGAACGGACTTTAAACTAGCCCATCTGTTAGGCATCGTGCAGCCTTACATTGCATTGATCTCCCAGCTCCCTTTGCAACGCCCTCTCCATGCCCACCTGAGATCAGGTGCCGTGACAATGCTCTCCAGCCGAGGGCCAGTCCTCTCCTCTCCACTACAAGCCTCTTTTCAGCGATGCTTCGAGGCATGGAGCTCCCAAGATGCCCCTCTCCCAACCCCCCAGTTCAGGTTTTTTTTCAGCCACTCCCACTGGCGAGTCCAGAATTGCAGGGACAACCCCCTCGCTCTGGCCTTCACTCTGGGATGCCTGGACAGCACCCAACTCAGCCTGCTCTTGGTACAAACACACGGCTATGCAAGTAGTAGGTTTCCAAGCCCTGCCGTAGACACGGGACTCTGGGGGCATTCAGCAGCAGGGGGGTTTCAGTGGCACTCGTAGAGAGAAGCAGCATTGGTGTCTAGCATCTGCCCATGCCTCCGCTGGGTCACTCTGACCCACGACCTCAAAAGGCTGCTGACCATTGCCCCGGAGCAGCAGCTCTGCACACTGCGGTAACCTTACCAGGCGTGCATCACAACACCGTTTCTCTCTTGCTAAAAAGAGAGGAGGATGCAGATGAACGGCCTGAAGTTGCAGCAAGGTTTAGATTCGATATCAAGAACAATTTCTGCCCCGTTAGAGCAGAGAGGCAGTGGAACGGACACCCAGGGAAATGGCGCACTCTCCACAACTGGAGGTGTTCGAGAAGAGGCTGGACAGCCACTGGGCAGGGATGATCTAGGAGGAGCTGTGTCTTTTTGTTTTTCTATGAGTAATTCCCACGGATCTGGGCTTTGCTGCTCATGACATGGATCCAGGAGGGAATTCTTTCCCCTCCTGCTGCGACATGTGTCAGGGGATTTAAGCCATCCCTCAGAGGCATTAGGAGTTGCCTACAGCCAAGGCTGGGGACCATGACTGAAGCATGCTAGTGCTCCTACTGGGACTTAAAAATCAGAGGTTGCTGGTTAGAGAGCCCTGCCCTTCTGCTCAGGGCCAGGCCCATCGCTACATTTGGGGTCAGGAAGGAATTTTACTCTATGGCCAGACTGGTACGGACAGTGGGGAGTTTTGCCTTCCTCTGTAGGGGGGTCATGGTGCTCTACTAAGGATCTCTCGCCTGTATTTTCACAACCCACACAGTGGCAGGACATTAGCCACCGCGGTCCCCTGGCTTGACCTGTGACCGATTACACTGTTATGTCTTGCGGTTGTGTCAGGGTCGACAGTGTGGTTTTGCTACGAGGTTAGACAATGCACTTGTAGGGGATGGTTTAGATAGGGATGGTCCTGCTTCAGGCAGGGGGTTGGACTAGATGACGTCTGCAGATCCCTTCCAGCTCTGCGCTGTTTCTTGTTGTTGCCTCAAGTCATCAGACAGCCTCATTATCTCTCCCCTCTGCATTCAGAGGATCAAGATGCTTCGGGGAATGGGAAGGTGAAGCAAGAGCTGCTTCCCCTTGAGCACCAGGGAGCTGCTCACGGACCCTGCTCCCCTAAGCAGCCACCATTGCAAGGTACCTGTAGCACCCCACCGAGCTCTGAAGGACCAGCCCCACATCCAAGGTCTGCAAAACTCAGCGTCCCACACAGCGCTCTCCCAGGCCCCAAGTACCCTCAGCCTCACATCTGGCTCTGCACGGAGAACCCCAACCCCACTAACAGCATCACCCAGGCCCACGAAGTCCCCAGGCCCGAGTCCCACGGGCAGGATACCGGGTGGCCCAGTGCGCCCCGTTGCGGTCGGCAATGCCCAGCTCACCTGGATGTTTTTCTCGCAGTCCGTCTGGTGGTGTAGCAGCAGCTCACTCTCCAGCAGGAACCGTTTGCCACACTTGTCGCAAATCTGCATCCGGCTGTGGGTCACGTTCATGTGCTTCTCCAGGTACCAGCGGTTGTTGAAGACCCGCGGACATTTCTTGCAGGGGTAGTGCTGCTTCTCTTCCAGCTTGACCTTCTGGCCCAGCCCATCCTGCTCCTTTTTCCTCTTCCTCCCGCGCTGGCCCTCCTCCTCTTCCTCCTCTTCCTCTTCCACCTTGGTCACCTCTTGGGAGGAGGCAGACACAGCCGGTTTGGTGGCTTTGGATGCCCTGCTCCCCCGGCGGGGCGGCACAGTCTTTTCCCTTTTTACTTCGGGCGCCTCCTCTTCGTCGTCCTCTTCCTCCTCTTCTTCTGTGGTTTCCTCCAAGTCTTCCTCCTCGCTATGTTCTTCCTCCTCCTCCTCCCCCACTTCGGCATCCTCCTCCTCTTCTTCTTCCTCCTCCCCTTCCTCGTTCTCCTCCTCCCCATCCTCCTCGGTGTCATGCCCATCCCCATCAGGCCGGCTGATCACTGCAGCGGCTTCACTGGGGCTCGGCTTCCCTTCCAACCCCTTGGAGACGTTGAGCGTCTGGTTGTTGAGGTTCACCTCCACAATGATCTGCTCCCGGTTGTAGCCCTGGCTGTCTGGGTCCTCCTCAGAGTCCTCCCCCTCCATCTTGCAAACGGCAGCTGGGCCTCCATCGTTCTCCTCCTTGTAGTACTGTTTGGGGGGCATGGCGGGGAGGTGCTGGTTGCTGCCGCTGCCAGCCCGGTCCTCTACGCGCACAGAGTAGGGATCATTCCCTTCCCGGGCATAGATCTTGGGGTGCGGGGAATCCACCTCTTGCTTGATCTCGCAATAGTACTGAGGGGGGACAGTGCTGCTGCAGCTGTCGGGGGGCAGGGCCATGTCGCTGGCCATGGCCAAGCTGAGGGACCTGGTGTTGATGAGATCCTGGCAAGAGGAAGCGATGTTATTCATCTGCAGCACGGCGGCGGCATTCAAGACGTCCTGCACATTGCAGGAGTTCACCAGGAGCTTGGAGGTGTAGATGAAGTTGAGGATCTGCTGGAAGCCCTGGGAGGTGAGGGCCTCCAGCGAGAGCTCGACCCGCTGCAGCTGCTTGTTCTGGGTGAAGAGGGAGTGGAAGAACTGGCTGTAGGCGGCAAGGACCCCTTTGTGGGCAGGGAAGATGCTCTTCTGCTGCACCAGGACGATGTCCACGTCGCACAGGTCTGGCTGAAACAGGCGCTGCTCGTTCAGTCTGTCCATCAAACAGGTAAAGTGGAGTGCTACATCCTCCACCAAGGAGTATTCAGTGGAAGGGTAGTCAGTCGTCTTTTCAACTATCAGCTGTGGGGAGAAAGAAGAGATGAGAATTCAAAACCCAGAGCCTCCTTCTCGTCTGGCGCAGCCCCCCACCCGCCCCTCCTCCCAGACACCAAGGGAGGCTGTCTGACCTAGTAGTCACAGCACTTGACCTAGTGGCAGGACCCGCAGTGGCTGGTGACTTTCCTCTGCTCGGGTCCTGGACCCAGCCACTTCCTTCTCACAACCGGGCAGAGGAGACAATATTTGCCTACTTCCACGCAGGGATCTCAAAACAAGTTCCCAGACCTAGATTTTATCACCGTTTCCCTTTTATTCCCCACCCCCCCGGTGGTCTTTGACCTGAAACAACGGGATGACCCTGGACTCAGCTGGGTCATTTATATGGGGTGGACCTGAAGCCCTTGGACCTAAAAGCACCAGCTCCTGCTCAATGTTGAAGACTAGGCACCACGAGGTGAAAAGCCCCGGCTGACTCCCAGGTCCTTACACAATCCAGCTGCTGACAAGAAGTCAAGGAGGCGAATCTCAGCTATACCTGCAGCTCCCAATCTTTCCACGGAAGCCTGACTTTTACACCTGAACTTCCCCAGGTCTCACACCCTCCATTTGCCAATGCTGTGACCTCCCCCCGCAACCTTGGGGCAAGATCTGCTACGTGGGAACCACCGTTCTACACCATCACCAACCTACAGCATTCACCTCGAGAGGAGTTCAGGCGTGGGCCTACCTATACAGCTGCTCACTACAAGTGACATGCACGGTGTTGGTGAATCAGAGGTTAGCCGGGTTGAAACCACCAACCCTCCATCTCCATGGACATTGAGCAATGCAAATACAAGGGAAAGCTTCCAGGTGCTATGCCGCGTGGCTGGATTTGATCAGAGCAGGAAAGGCTCGAATGATCACTCAAAACTGATGTGCAAAGTACCGAAAGAATAAATCCAGAATGGGACACACCAGAAAGGGACAGGGCGCCATTACATGCAGTGCAAGACCTACCCAGCAGCCTTCAAGCAGTCTCCTTTATTTGTGCAAACTAAAATAGCAAGATCTGTGTTTTAGGGTCTGGTTATATAACCTGCATACAGGTGCGCACACACTCCAGAATACAAAAACCCTCCCCAAGATCACATGGGTACCTGCTCCAGAAATCAGAGTTTAAGCAAAAACTTCATTGCCAAAAAAAGTGCCAGCAAGGAAAGCTATTCTTTCCAGCTTTACTATCCAGGTAGCACAGAGGAAAGGTAAATGTCTCCTTACTGTTTCAGCAAGTTCTTTATGTGTGTTTTGGTGACCACCCACATGCCACTCAGGCAGACTGTCACCGCATGATGCAAATAGGCAACCTGTCGGTGCACTCCTTTTCTGCTACCATTTACCAATCTGACTGAATTACACCAGAAAGCCAGAATCCAGTTTTAATGCTAGGATCTCATGTCAGTGGTGGGGAAACTGAGGTGCAGACAACGACACAATTTGTGCACGGTCATGTAAGGAGGTCAAAGCAAAGCCGCAAAGATCTCACACACGTCCCTGCTTTCAGGCACAATGCTACCATATTACGCCTTCTCTGCCCTTATAACCCCATCAAGCATCCTCCTATGCTGAAAAGCTGAAAACCTGTCCACACGAAGCAGCAGCAACTCTGGAATAAGCCAAGGTGTGAGTCCGTACTTTCAATCTGGAACAAAACCATCCACATGAGAAGCTATTCAAGAATTGCACAGTTCATTTCCCAGTAACTTTTCTGGGCCATTTCCCTCTGTAAATGAGCCCACAATGAAGTTCCCCGTTTTTCCAGTATTCACACATGTCTAAGTGACATGCTGTAACAACGCCAGCAGCTACAGCTGCACGGGTTGCCAGGACCAGTGGCAGATCCCTCTCGGGGCAGACAAACTCACAGGGACCAGACAATGCACCTTGCCCTGCAGGGTGCTGAGCATCTGGCTGGAGAAGGGCAGAAATCAGCAAGGGGATGACACGTTTCAATGCCTCTCTTGGCACTCGGTGCTGGCTTTCTGCCCAATGGGACCCGAGAGCCTAGGCGCTAGCTGCACCTACAAAGGCAGAACCGGAGCTGCATGGTTTGGTGGTGGGTCCCTGGGAGGAATTCACACCCCGCTCTGCAACAGCCCCCATCAAATCCCTGCAACCCTCTGCCTGCCAGGCCCCCCAGTCACCCACAAGCAACCCGCCACATCTCAACGTTTCAGACCTGTGGAGGAAAGTGGCTTACAGGCACCTCCATACTTCCCAGAGGACCAATGGTTTCCATCCCGTGGGTACCGGCTGTCAGCATCCTTTCCTGGGGGAGGCTTTATAACTTTGTGATCATGTTTTGAGCTGCTGCCTAAAAACACACAGACCCCACAACTCTGCCCTGCAATCCCTGCCTCAGTCCCCGTGGACTTTGGCTAAGCTAGTGTCCATCTTTCAGAGGGATGTCAAATCCTCATTTACAGACTCCAGGAGCTGGCACATCCCCGCTGAGCTACTCCAAGGGCGACAAGCCTTCCCAGTCACTAGGTCAACGAAGTGCTGACACCAAAAGGTGGCAGGAAACAGGAAAACATGCTGTTGGTTCGAAAGCAGCACATCACGTCAGTAGCTCCATGTCCAGCCTGCACTATAAAAGGGGAAAAGGGGAGAGGGAAACAGGCTCGGAGAACCGCCTGGGCCCCAAAAGTGGATCCTCCCTCTTCGTCCAACCCCTCCAGATCAGAGCAGGGGCATGTCTCCTGGCACGGCACCCTGGGAACCGTTTGCCCCGTGTCCGGCCATGCCACTCGTGTACAGAGGAGGGGACGTGGACATGGGAGGAGAAGAGGAAAGGGGCAAGGTGAGAAAACAGACTAGGCTCTCATCCTCCATCTGGGCTTATTGCATCTCTTGGGGAGGGAAGAGAGTGATCTCGTGGCACAGGTCCCTACCGCTGGGAGTTACCGGGCATCACCGGGGCACACCGAGGAGAACGGGTCCTGCTCTCTGGGTTCACCCTTCGAAGCACAGGCCAAACTTGCTGCAGACCGCAGGCCTGGCTCTCGCTGCACCCTGGACCACAGGACTCCTTTCTGCTTCAAGTCTGAGGCACGTGCCTTCTCCAGCCTACGTAACACAGTAACCCAAATACTTGCAAAAAAAAAACTGTGAAGCAGCCCTACAAGCCACCCCGCTGCACATGACCCATCTCCGGAGGAGAGAACGAGGAGCTCGTGACGGGCGTGACCGTGCTGCCTCACCGCTGCAAGGCACTGCACACATCCGTGGGAAGCTCAGGGTAAGGGCTTCCAAAAATCAACCCAGAGGCCATTATTTTATTGCCCGAGTGGTGCCAAGGGGCAGCGAGATGCATGTGGGAATTGGGACCAGGCTGATTACAGATCAGAGGGATGTAGGGCTGGAAGACACTGCTGGAAATCACAGCTAGTCCAGCCCCCTGTCATCACCACCCATATAAATCCAGGTTTAACCTATGAACTAAAACTATACAATCAACCTGATCACAAACCCACATGGGATGGCACCTAACCGGCCACAGGTAAAGCAGAGAGACAGCAAGGGTCAGTGTCCTGCTGCTACAAGGGTTGTTAAAATATGCCCCCCGCTTCAGAGGAAGGCAAACCCCCGCCCCCAGTCTGCAACAACCTGATGTCAGAGGTGCCAGGCTCTGCAGGTGCCGTTTTCTTCCCAGCGAGGAATGAATGGCTCCCCCGTGGGATTTTGGGGTTCAGCACATTGCACACATCTTGCATCCAGTCACCAGAGAGCTGGCGTGCAGACCATATCGATCACCAGACCGTCAGCAGGGACCAATAGGCACGTTAAAAGCCAAGAACTGGAATTCACAGTAAGGGGGGGGGAGAAGAAAAACCCTGGCAGTCAATTTGGCTTCGTGCCTCAAACCACAAAAGGACCTAAATTAGCATGTCAGCTTGTAATGATTTCAGCTGCTACTTAGCATCTCTTAGCTTAACATCATCAAAACCTCAGCCGCGCGCTGCGTGGTGGGCAGCAGGAAGGGTAGGCTGCCTCCGTGTACTACTACACAAGGAGCTGGAGTTAGATCCCTGGGCCCATTACTTCCAGGGAAAAGAAAGTTACGGGTCTGCCCTGACTGCGAATTTGCTTTGTATGCCTGGGAAAAAACTCTTTCAATATAATCTCATGTGGAACCAAAGCAAAAAACGGCGATACCCGTAAAAACTCACCTGCAGGCACTTGCTGAGGGTACAGACGCGATTACTAGGCAGTCGTTAACCCTGGACTTTACTCTGCAGTAAATTTAGCCTGTAATAAGGAGCCGGCACGACGCGCCATCCGAAATTCGCTGCCTGCAGTAGGTACTATTGCAGCATGGAGCCACGAGATGGTGAGAAAACCAGATTACTTTGGGCAGATCCCTATCCCAGAATCAAGCAGATCAAGGTAGCAGATAAATCATGAGTTAACAGGAAAGCAGGGCTGGAAGGGACCTCACGAAGGTATCTAGTCCAACCCCCTGCTCAAGGCAGGATCAACCCTGGCTAAACCAGCCCAGCCAGGTGACAGCCCAAGTAACTTCCCCACGGAGAAAGATTACTACATCATTTTCACGGGGTAACTTGACTCTGGATTGGGGTAATCTACTGTGAACGGTGCTGTACGTTACACTTTTACTGCGTAGCCAGTCACCTGTCACCTCTCTGATGACATTTTTGTTGGGTAGGCACATCTGCACCGTTATCCTGGTATGAGGGAGCCTTGTTTCAGTTTAGCGCCTACTGCTTGGGAAGGAACAGGAAAAGGCCTTCTTAAGCCAGGATATCCAATTATCCATGCACTGCAGCAGGACGAAGAGGCGGGCTGCTGTTGCACCCAAGGGGCTCTCAACTCCTACTGCAACATGGATCAAAAAAACATAACAAGTACAATGAGATTAGCTCTGTGCCTTGGCAGTCAGGTCATCAGGCTGGCCAAAAGAGATAGGTGCAAGGGTATGCGCATGCAAAGTCGTCCTATATCATGCATCTTTTATACAC